AGTGGAATACTTTCAGGCCAGGCTTTGTCCGACTTGGTAAAGATGACTAATCCTCTTTAATATAATCGGTGTCCAGACCCGATTGGCCAGGCCTTTGCTTCCTTGCTCCTCAACCCAGAGCAAAATGAGCCCCGTGTGGTCCTTAGCTGTGAGCAATGAGGTGTTCCTTTTGTTTCTGAGCTCTCCTTGCGTTCTTGTATATTTTTTGTGCACGCTCATTCCTGTACCTGCAGAAACGTACCTCGGTTTTTACTTAGACACAAACACCTCCTATCAAGTACAGAAAAATTCAGTAGTCCACAGAAGCATTAATTTGTTCTTACATATGTTTCCCTTCCCCAAGCTGGGATTTTTGTTTGGGTAAAAACTTACGCTTTAGTTGTAATTATTACTAAGTGAAAAATGTTTGCATTTCACAAATGTATTTTCTGCTCCATAATCTCTATAGCAGAAAGCCAGGCCCTTAGAATATTTACTTGCATAATTCTCATTCCTTTTCCCCTGATGTTTTGGCATGAACAGCAAGGGTGAAGAAAGTTATGCAAGAATACGGGTTCATCCTAGCAATCATCATTAATCTTTGCTATCCTCATCCTTGTTTGTTAGAAGACTGCGTTAAAAGGTATCTGGATTTTCTCACATTTCTCTACAGCCAAGCCTCACATATCTTGAAAAAGTCACTTTCAGCAAAAGACTGCACATGGCTGCAGGAGTGTTTCTGAGGAAAAGGCAGAGGTAATTTGCAAGTGATGGAAGACGGGTACTGGAGGTGTTTGGGATACGTTAAAGCTGGGGCATGAGCATCTCTATTCAAAGGACAAAGGCAGCAGGTTGCTGCAGAATTACTTCTCTCCCTCTGGGGAGGACTCTGACACCTCCCAGTCTAGGAGGGAGGATGGGGTGGGGTGGGCAGGGAGGAGGAGGAGGAGGAGAGGGAACTGGACAGTGATTGAGGAATGATGGCTAAAATTAGTTCCTGCTTCCCCTCCCTTACCATTAGCAGACAGTCTGCCTCTCCAGCTGGCTTCTCTTGCAGTCAAAAAGTTAACCTTTTCTCTGCCTTGGCAAGGACAAAGCATGTTCTACTCCTGACTGTCAGTGTAGCGTTTTAAAAATGTGAGAGCGAAGAAATGTGCAAAAATTGGTCTTGTTGATTTTTTTTTTTCAGAATGGGTGTAAGGAAAAAAATGCAAGTGCCAAATATAGAAGTGTAGCCCCTTCCTGTGTAAGACATAGATAGTAGCTGACTTTGTAGAGACTCCAGTGTTACATGCACCCTATATACATGGTATTATCTATTTCTCCAAGGAATCTGCGGGGATAGACGTAATTGTTATCACAAATTCACAGAGAAAGAAAGTGAGCCACAGAGGCAACTTGCCCATGCCTCCTAAATGGTAAATAGTGGGACAGGGATCTCTGACTCCTGACTCTGAGACCTTAACCATCACTTTGAGCTCTCAGCTAAGTGAATGAGTCTTATAGCAGTAAGATTTATTGAATAGTAGATGTGGGAAAGTAACAGTGCATTGCATAAAGTAAGGGCTCAGTAAATAACTACTGAATAAAGTGCGTTCTTGTTCTTTTCAAGAGACAAACCATTAGCCTCTAGTCTGCCTCTTATTGCTGTTTTCTCAGATTGTGTGTGTGTGTGAGAGAGAGAGAGAGAATGAGAACGCGTGTGTACGTGTGTGTGCGTGCAAAATTTAAGTCCTAAACATGTTTGAATGTAGAAGATTAAGTATTGTAGAAAACTTTATTCACAGGGAATACTAAACATATAAGAACATCTCTCTCTCTTCACAGTAATTGGGAATAAGGCTGTTGCTCAAAGTACAATCTGAAAAGAATTACAAACCAGCCAGTCAACAGAAAAATGCTACCTAGGATCCACTCACAGACACTTTCGTTTTTAACAATCCCCCTGTAGGGAGGAAATCTGGCAGGTCAGAGAATTGTGTGAGTCTAGAGTAGCTGTTCTCATGACTAGGGTATGATATTAAGTCCCTGGCCTCTTTTTAAAGGCATAAATTCTAAGGGGCTCACCTCTGAGTGTTCACTCTTCAGGACTGGGCTGGGATCCTGAAACCTGCATTCTTAATGACATCAACTTTTGAGAATGGTTGGACTGGTGAGTTGAGGAGATGCCCTACAGCAGTGACGGTGAACCTTCTAGATCTTCCATGACACAAACAGCCTGCAGGGGCACACACATGCCATAGGTTTGTCACCACTGCAAGGCTCTTCCACGTTCTATCACAAGTCAGGAAGGAGGTCCTTGTGCTCAGCATCATAAAATGAAATGCACCCCGTGCTTGTATGAAATAAAATTTTCACTGCATTCATTTTGCTTGGTAAGTGGCATGTGACTACAGCACATAGTAATTACATGTTCCTGAAGACTACTTGGTAATTTGCACTTAATAAGACCAAAAATAATTACCCTGTACTCCAGTCTTGAAAACATAAATAATCGTAAATATATGGTTCTCACTATGTAATTACTTTGCCACTCCACGCAACTCTCCATAAGATGAGCAGTTACTGAGGGAGTAAAGAATCACAACAGAATATTCCCTTTTTTGCTTGATAAACTGAAGCGACTCAGACCACGAGGCTTGCATTTCCACACACATTTTCTGAGGCTCAGAATTTAAATCAGAGGAAATTTAGAGGAAAGAACATTTCTTACCTCATTGGGAGCTTTCTAATTTGACCTTTTACTTAGTGGTGCTAGAAAATTTCCCTGAAATTTAAACAATTTTCAACCCCTTTAGGAATATGACATAACCCACCTGTCTGGGATGACCTTTCAAAGCCACTTCTAATTCTGTTCTCTGCCTTAGCAGAGCGATTAAATTTTAGATCTGAGACATAGTCCGATGGAGAACAAGGGCAGAAGCTGGAGTTGCCCACACCAACCCACCTGCTCACATTTAAACTTCTGGGCTCCTCACATTCCTAATAGAATGAGCCCCAAGAGCTTCCTACAGAAGAGTGGAATCTTATTAGGGTTTCTAGGTCCTGCCCACATTTGTAGATCTGCAGTTGTAAGACAATCCAGAGTTACAGTCATGTCTTTGTAATGAATAAATGAATCATGGATTTCCCATGCCTACAAATGGGAAGGACCCAATAAACACCCAAAACACCTGTAGGCTTGTGGGTGTTTTTCAGGTTTGCGTTTATCTCTAGAGAGCATATACCCAACATGGTGATGCTGATCTTCATTGCATTGCTCCACCACCACCAGCACCAAAAGCAGCCACTGCATGCATGGTGATAATGGTTTCATGGGTACCCTAACAGGTGGGGAGAGAATAATGTCAAAGAAAGGGCCATCCATTCATCAACTCAGCAAATACTGATGGACACCAGCTATGTACTGGGCTGCTTAGGTGCTGAGATAAAACAATGAATAAGACAGAAAAGTTCCCTGATCTTCTGTAGCATAAATTCTAGAGAGTGAAACAAATAAAGATCTCCTGTCCTTCTGGCTTTCAACATGTGCAAAGCAACTGATCCATGAGGAGAGAACTCAGGTGCAATGTGAATTTCATGTTTTCTTCTGGTTGACTTTATCTTAGAGGAACATTGCAAGACAGGAAACCACACCCCACAGAACCAGGTCCAGCAGGCAAGGGTGAAGTGAGAGCGTGAAGTGAATGCTGTGCACACACCAGCTATCTGAGTTTTCCACATGAGCGATGAGCCACACTCATCTGCACCGGTGTTACGGCCATTCATCGGTTTCACATAACGCCTCTTATACCAGTGACCCTTCCCTTCCACAACCAAACATCAGATCTTCAAGATACCACAATGACACGCTCATCATGGAATTTAATGTACCTCTTGACTGCTTAACATATACAAACTGTGTTACTAGTTTTATTGTTTCCACGTTTTATAATATATTACTGATAAGGATTCCTAGTTGTACCTTCAACCCCATCTTCCCTGTAGTAAGTCTTGTACTTTATACCATTTCACATGACATGGTGATCTTTAAGAACTCATATGTCACATTTGTAAGTAAACAGACTTATTCACCAAATAAGTGAATTCCAGGTCATAGTAGGCAGTCTGAAAACATCAGGGGATGTGCTGGAGAGTGTCTGGGTGGGGTGGGAGGCATTCCTCTGCATTGAATGGCCTTGAACTCTTCTGAGAAGGTCACATATGAGCTGACACTGTAGCTGGCCATGCAAAGAGTCAGGTAAAAGCATTTCAAAGGACAGAAAGTGGCCAGTATCTCAAAGCAAGAAGCAGGTTGGTGAGAACGGGAACAGAGAGGTGGGAACAGTAGCAGGACCCCAATCATAGACACACAGAAGAGGACATTGTAAGTAAATACATGTAAGCATGGAGAAAAGCCACTAGAGAATTTTTCTCTACTAATAGACTCCACTTAATGTACAGATGAGTATCTGTGCTCTAGAGAGTTTATATTTCATACTCACGGCCACACCACCAGGAAGAATCTAGGTGTCTCCTACCTTTATGCACAGGGATAGCTGGGTCCTTCATGTGAACTCTGGGAAAGAGGATATTGATTGGGGAATTTTCCCAGATAGCCCAGAAACAATCTCTGGATCCATTAATCATTTCCTCAAGCATGGTGGTATGGGGCAGAGGATTGAGAAGAAAGGCTTTGAAAGCTCTTTTGAGAATCCCAGACCTTCAGCACCACCCTGCTGCTTATCCTCTCGTTCCAAAACTTTGAGGAAACGTCCTGGAAGGGCAGCTCGACCAGGGAAGGCAGGGGTCTGGCACCAGGAAGGGGCAGCCTGTGAAAGCCCTTGGGGAGGGCCACACTGGGGCTCCCAAACCCCTGCAGCCCAGCGAGTTCACTAGGCTGTGTCCAGTGTCCTGTTTCATTCCGCTGGTGAAAGGAAAACAGAACGTACAAAATGCCCACTGAGCCATGGTAGAAGCCAGCAAGGACAGGAAGAGAGCAGTCCGGCTCCGAACCGCTGCAGGGGCCCAGATGCACTCACTTTGAATCCTGTTTTTGAGAGGTGTAACCACGCTGTCAACAGATGGGGTCGCTCTGTGCTCTATCACCGACCAACATGAGACTCAGCCACGAGAATTTCTTGACCGTGGATGACAAAGCCGAGCACTGAGACCCTGAAAAAAGTAGCAATATTTCTCTTCTTAGATGGACTGACCCTTGATTGCTTATCAAAGCCAGTCAGAAGACAAAAGGCTACATTTAATAAAATGCCACGGAGTGAAGGCCCTGCAGAAAGCACCCCGATGGGGTTTTGCTTGAGCCTGAGCGGAGAGGCAGGACCTGGCGGGTGAGAATGGAGACAGCGCTGGGTTGCAGGCGGCTTGCGCGCCCCAGTATGGCCCTCCCCACGGGCTTTCACAGGCTGCCCCTTCCTGATGCCAGATCCCTGCCTTCTCTCGTCGAGCTTCCGTTCCAGGACGTTTCCTGAAAGTTTCAGAACAAGAGGGTGAGCGGCAGGGTGGTGCTGAAGGTCTGGGATTCTCAAGCGAGCTTTCAAAGCCTTTCTTCTCAATCCTCTCCCCGCTCTCAGCCTGGCAGCTTCCCCAGGCCAAGGGCAAGATTCCTGCGCCCACAGTCTAAGGTCCTTCATGTACACACGGCCATACCTCGCAGCCTCGGAGCCTTCATTTCCCCCCAAGCTTCCCGGGGGGCTCTGACAAAAACTGAAATTTAAGAATTACTGTTCTAAGGAATGAGGGACCGTAGCTTCTCCTTAAAATCTGGAGCTAGGGCGGATCTTCGCCTGGTGTGAGACCCGTCCCGGAGGTTTTCTTCAGGAAACTCTGTCCCTGAGAGATACAAAGGGCTGGAGATTTGTTGGTCCTGGGTTCGAGCACAGTCAGAAAGCTCTCACCCCAACAGGAGGGCCCTTGGAGCCGCGGATTGGAACCATACACTCTCAGAATTGCTTTCTTTGTGTCCAGATATGGTCCTATTTCAGAATCAGCTCTCCCCACACGATTTGGCAACAAACAGTGACCGACTGTTTCTACCTTAGTGTAAACGTGGGCACCACATCCTTGCACTGGTGACTGGTCGCCAAGACGGCAGGACAGCCTTCTGCCAGGCAGCTGTGACAGCTTTGGGGCTTTGGCCATCCAGATGTGAAGGAAGCAGAGGAAAGAGGGCGCAGAGTTGCAGACAGGTGGGATTCTCTGCTGGAAAGCAGATGCAGTTTATCCTGCCCTTCGCCCACTGTACCTTCTCTGCAACCAGCTCCCAGCACAGACCCCTTCTGCCTGGCACCCAGGATCGTACGCCTGTGCCCTTCCTATTCACTCGGCGTGATCGGACGTGCCCCGGCCCTAAGTCCCTGCACCCACCTCCCAACTTCTGAGGGCAGGGAGAGATCGGTGCGTGGTTCATTTCTGCCATCTCCCTAGTTCCTGACAGGCCTTACATGGGAAATGTGCAAATAAATATTTGTCAAAAGAATAAATGAATGCAAAGTGGACGGACGGAAATTTACAGAGGTCAGAGCCTGGCCCTGCTTCATTTGTTCAGCCCTTGGCATAGCAGCCCATGCAAATAGCCACTTAATACTTGTGTTTGATGATCATGAAAGTGATAATAAAACCCTGCAAGGGATGATTGAGGAAAAGGCCCTTTATTGTTCGTGTCTTTTGTTGTAAGCTGCCTCAAATGGTTTTGAGAAGTAGGCAGGTGATAAATAATAGATGAGTGAGTGGATAAGGCTTTAAGCCCCTGAGGCCTCTCCAGACTTTCCTACCTCTCTCACACCCCCAGGGCAAAGAGCCTTCTGGGGATGAAAGGTGGAGAGAATTCATTCATTTATTCATTCAACAAATAATTTGTGAAAGCCAGACCATGCTTCTCTTAAGCAATAAGCTCGCCCCAGGGTTGCTGAGTGGAGTGACTTCTGCAGGTCTCTTTCAGGGCTGTGATTCTTGGTTCTGCTGAGAAATGTTGAGGGTTTGGATGGAGCAAGTTTGACAAAGTCCCACAGTACTGGAGATTGAGTGAATGTATGTGGATGCTGGGTGTCCGTCACCTGCCTTTCTGTCTCTCCTACCCCACCAATGCCTGCTGCAATTGCTCTACTGCTTTGTATGGCAGCTGTTTTATGTCAAGACAGATCTTCTCCCCACACCCAAATGCAACCTGATGTGACCTCACGTAATACAGTAGATGTGTCACCTTGGAGCAAATCCTGAACAAATGTCTCACTTGATTCCTGATGCATCAAAATAGGAAATATTTAAGATCAGATTTACCTCTTCTCAGCATTTTACTTCTAGTCTGGGGCTAAATTGCCCCCGTTGATTAAAATAAGCAATCAGTGTCTGCCTGTCGGAGGTGTCTTAACTTGCTATATATACTTTTGGTAAATATCACAACATTATTTTAATCTGTAAATCGGATTTGTCAGGTCTGATTCATGTAAATGGCTCACACACCCCAAATTCTCTCTGACAGCCCCGATGTGGGACCTGTCTTCATCTTCAAAAGGTTAGATTGCCTGGAGCTTGTTGCTAGCTGAATAGAGGCAAGAACACAGAAAGACAGGCCGCTTTTCCTCGAACAGGTTTCTGCCTATGCCCAACACACCCACCATGCAGTGTCTCCATACAGAAATCAGGAAACCACCACTGAGCCGGAGCACTGGACAGAAATGTTATTTTTCCAATAATACCATTGGCCATAGTAACAAAATGTGTCCCTCAGTTACTACGTGCTACGCACTCTGTGAAGTAATTTGTAAAAATCCATTATCCCATTCAGTGCATACAGCAACTCCATAAAGCAACAGCTCTTTCATACAAGCAGAAGGTCAGATTGAGAAAAGTCTAGAAACCTGTTCGGGATCTCTCTGCCTGTACCCTGCAGGCCTAACCAATCCTCTCTGCATGGAGTTATTATGATGAAGTGGCTTTGGGTTTATTTTTTTCTTTCAGTTTTTATTTTTCATTAGTACGTGTCTGCAGTACATAATGGTTACAGTCTTTGCAGGGAGTTGGCATATGGACTTAACACATCTTAATTCTTTTTCCATCCCCTTTCCTTCCCCTTCCCTTCCATCTCTTGATCCTTTTCCCTGTAACTGACTCTTTAAAGGAGCTCAGTATTGTATCCCAGGTCAGAAGCACCACGGCTCCCCCAAATTTTGAAATACTCATTTCCCTCAGACCATTAGCTGGCTGTTTATAAGCTTTTGAAAATGAAGAGATTTTTCTAAAATTAAAGAAGTCATAATGGACAATTAGCTTTCATGCTTATCAATTACAAAAATGGCAAAAGTGCTTGTGAAAGGAGTCCTATGTTGTGTAGCATGACCTCTTAGATGTGTTTGTGAAGCATAGGAGTTGAAGAACTTTGTCCTGCTTACTCTGTGAGCCTGGGAACAAAACACCAGCACTGAAAGGATGAGGGCTTTATTGTGGCTTACTATTTCCGAAGCCCCAGTCCATGGTCGGCTGGCTCAGACCCAGAAACAGCGTGGTGAAAGGGCCTGGTGCGGGAAAGCTGCTCATGTCATGGCGACCGGAAGGAGAGAAGGGAGGAGCCAGGGAGGAAGATAAGCCCTTCCGGGTCACGCCCATAATGACCTGCCTCTCTAGCCAGGCCCCAGCTCCTAACAGAAGTCAGCTAGAGCAGCCCCATGATCCAGCCACCTCCCTGAAATCCTGTCTCTGAACAAATGAGGCTTTGGGGGGGCCATTCTAGATCTAAACAAACCATAACACAATTTAAAGGAAATGACGGGGACCAATGATGACAGGGGAACCAGCACACTGATTTAAAAGAACTCATGGGTGGTAGGAAAACCCCAGGAGCTTAGAAAACATGGCCTAGGGTCTTGTCTTCTTTTTGCTCCATCACCCAGAGTCATTTAGATTCACTGAGCATTTATTTATTTTTGCAAAGGAACAACATTTTACCTACCTTCCAGATTGGCTTGGAAGACCAAATTTGACCATCTCTGAGAAAGTACTTTAATAGAAGTATTAGACCAATGTAAATAAATCAAAGTATTATCCAAAAATTCTGATGTCCCACTATTGTATACACCAGATTTTATTTCAGGAAGGTAAAACTCCTTTTAAACCAACACCATTTTCCAAGTGGAGTTCTGTGAATATAGCTTCCCCCATGCCCGGCAGCTGGCTCAGAGTAACAGTGCTTTGTAGAATTAAATGAATTTCCTTCAACCAAAAAAATCCTGTAGAACAGATGCGTTCTCAAGCCCCCAACCCTGGAGCTGTCAATCTGTAAAGAAAACTCTGTTTTGCTACTTGTTTTGTGCAAGAAATGTATTTCCATGCAGGGTGAGATTTTAAATGAAATTTGACAGGTTTTTTTGTTTTGTTTTGTTTTTGTGTTTTTCAAGAGCTGCCTGTGTTTGTGTTCTCCCTCTTCTCCTGGGGTGCCTCTAATGGGCAGGAGGCTGCCAGAGAGGTGAGCTCGCTGTTGCTGGGGGCTGTAGTCGCAGGGAGTCTAGGGGAGAGAAAAAGGAAGACAGGGGCTTCAGCATTCTTGAACAGGCTACTTGCACCCCAAGGGAAAAGGCTGTTCCTGCCACTGCAGGAGCCAGAATAGAAGAAGCTAAGTCAGCTGGGTACCCAAAGGGCCAGGGACTAACTGCCTTCCCCCAGCCCTCTCCACCTGTCACATGCAGTCCTGGGTTTCCAAAGCAGCTGGTCACCTCCCTTTACTCTCCCATCCAAGTTCCCTGTCTAGACTGCCCTGCTCTGCTTTATGTCCCTGGTCCTGGAGGGGGCAAATGAGTCCTGCTGATAGTGTTTCCAGCCTTTCTGAACTCCATCATTTATCAAGAAACAAAGAAATCCCCAATCTAATGCTGTCTTCCACAGGAATTGTCATTCTTCTATGGAACAGTGTAGACATCCACTAGGCACACAGGGGAAGAGACGGAGGGGAAACAGGCCCGCAGGGCAGCACTGAAGGAATTGTGCTCCTGGTGCTCCAGGGCGAGGGACAGAAAATGTGTTCTGTTCAGGGTGAGGCAGTGAGTATTTTAGGTTTTGTGAGCCATATGGTCTCTGTCACAACTATTCTATTCTGTCTTGGTAAAGAGCCATAGACAATATGAGTGTGGCTGTGTTCCAATAAAACTTTATTTGCAAAAACTGATGGTGGGGCCAAAGTTTGCTGGCTGTTGCTCTGGAGCAATAAGAACAACTTCTCCCCTTCTCTTTCTCCTCCTTGTTTTGTACCTCCTTCTCCTTCTACTCTCCCTCCTCCTCCTCCTCACTTGTCTCAGCAAGTCTCAAAACGCTTGAATCTCATTTGTTTGGCAGATGAGCTTACAGTTGAGCCAGCCACATTGACTCACTCAGATGAATGCTCTGGGAAGAGTGGCTGAGAGGTCCTTGGTAGGAAAGGACAGAATGAAAATGACCTGGGATCCACGCTCCTTGGCTCAGCCCTAACAATGGAGCGCTGATGAGTGTTGAGCGAGGCTGAGGAACTGTGTTAGTAGGAACCACAGGTCATGCCTTTGCGGGTGCAGAGCGTCTCCCCAGGGTCTGTGCAATGGCACCCTGGAGGGACACCATGAAGTCGCAGGCTCGCTGTGGCTCTGGCTGTGTAGGAGGCAGTGCATTCACGCAGGAGTCAGGCTGTTGCACTTGGCCAGGGCCAGTACTTGCTGGAGCACGGATTTGCAAGGTCTCCAAGAAATAAGTAGGAGCCAAAGACAAGGTTTGTCGGCGGTGAATTAAAAGCAACCAGTTTCTCCTCCAGAGACATCCAGGGAGTAGAGGCCAAGGATCTTGTTAAATATCCTGCACTGCCCAGGGCAGAGCGCCACAACCAAAGGTGACCTGGCCTTCAGGGTCCATGAACTTGAGGCTGGAAAACCTGCATTAGAGATGTTTTTGTTTCTCCACAGCCCTGTGTCACTGAGTAAATAGTGTATGGACAGGCTGGGTGAGTCATAGGTAGAGTAAGACAAGGGTGACTGGGTAGCTGCGGACATCACCCCCATCTCGTCTCCTCCTGGGTTGTGACAGCAGGAAAACACAAATGGTTGTGAAAGGTCCCTGCTTTCTTCCCCGGGGCTGTTGTTTTTTGCTAAGAAATGTAGGTGAGGGCGTAGGTAGGTAGGTGAGGCACTCCTGTGGTGTTCGGACCTGGGGGACCAGTTACCTGGGGGAAGAGTGGCCAGCTTGAGTGATCTGTCTTCCTGGGTCAAGAAGGCTCTGGTTCATTCACACAGAGGTCTTTCCTTTGTGTGGGCAGCCTTGGCTTCTTGGTTGAGTTTTGGCTTCCTTATCCAATCTAATTCTATCTGCTTTCAGTCTTTAAGAGATTCGTCAAGCTTCCCATCTGCTCATACCTGCTTGTTTGTTTTCATGTAGCTGATGAATTATTCTTATATATTGCTTTGGTCATTTCAGTGGACTGCAGAGAGGAACAGAGAGATTGTACAAGCTCAGATCCCTCCTAGAACAGTTGACTGCACACTTGGGCTTGAACACCAGCTATGTCATGGTAATCTTGGAAGACCAGTATCAAAAGAGTGAGTTAGCAAAAGAGTGGGTTACTTGGGAAAAGAATTTTAAGTAAGGTATAGTCATTATCTATTGTTAATGGTACAGCCTGCCCTAAAATTTAGCAGCTTAAAACCACTATTTATTATTATCTCTAGTGGGTTTGTGCTTTGACTGAGTTCAGCTGGGTGGGTGTAGATCAGGAATCTATGTGGGGCTGAATCTTGTCCTTCAGAAAGATATGCTGACGTCTTAACACTCATACTTCAGAATGAGGCCTTATTTAGAAATAAGGTCCCTATAGGCATAATTAGTGAAGATGAGATCATCCTGGAGTAGAGCAGGCTGTTAATCCAACATGATTGGTACCCTTAGGAGGAAAGAGGCATGGGAGTGTGCCACATGGTGACAAAAGTGGTGATGAAGTGGAAAACCAAAGCAGACCACGGTCAATGGCAGCCACCAGCAGCTAGGGACGGGTGAGGGAGGAGCCTACCCGAGTCTCGGAGGAGGCACAGCCTTGCTGATGTCCTGCTGTTGCACATCTAGCATTAGCACTGTTAACGAATGTATTTCTGCTTCTGGAAGCTGCTCCGTGTGCAGGACTTTCCCTGGCTGCTCAGGGACACTAACACAGGGGCTACGTGCAGTCAGACTGGGGCTGGGCTGGAATCAGCCTGACCTCACCTGTTCTTAGTGCTACAACAAAGCACTTTAATCTGGGCAATTCATAAATAAGAGAAATTGGTTTCTCACAGTTCTGGAGGCAAGGGTTTGTAAGATCAGGGTGCAAAGAGATTCAGTGCCTGCTTTCTTCAGCCTCAAAGGGTGAATTAGGCAGAAGGACGGGAGGCGCTAACAGAGTCCTTCTTCCAAAGGCATGAATCCAATTCATGAGTGTAGAGCCTTCGTGGACTAATTCCCCTTTAAAGGTCCCATCTCTTAATGCTACTGCATGAGGGTTAAGTGTCAATGTGAATTTTAGGAGGACACAAACATTCAAGTTCACAGTGCGTGGTTCACAAAAGGTCTTGCTGAACTGCATGTCCAGGAGGACTTCCTCACATGGCGGGTGCCAGCCTGACCCCTGGTATGGTGGCAACCCCTAGGCCTAGCCAGGCATCCTTCTCACCACACATTACAAGGATCACAGAGACAGATGAGTTGAACTCCATTCCATGGTGGCTACCTTCCCAGAAAGCAGCTTCTCCAGCAGACCCAGGTAGAGGGGACAAGACTTTTGACCTCGCCTTAACAATTACACAGTTAGACAGCAGCTCTGAACAAGATAGGGTGCAGAATTCATGTAAGGGGTTTAACTTTAGACTACAAGTGAAGGCTCTTTGTCCAAAGAGAAAGATGGGTGAGGAAGGGGATTGGGCAGCAGACCAGTGCATGAGGAAAGTTCGGGGTGTTGAAGGAACCCCCAAGTATTGGCACCCAGGGTCTTACACAGCAAGCACAGTAGCCGGCACTGGGAGAAGTGCCGGCTACGGTAGGAGAGAGGACTTGGAGGAAGCCATGTTTGGGGAAAGCCAGGACAGGGACCAGAAAAGGCTGACTATAGTGACATACACCCTCTTTCCTCAGTATTCAGCCATGAAGTGTGGGAAATGTGAGCAATTGTTTCACCCTACTGGTGACACTCTTACTGACACGTCCCGAATTTCCCACTCTACTCTAAGGCTCTAGCAGTCACTGAACTGGACATTACTTCTGAAATAAAAGCAATGCAAACTGGGAAAAGATGATCACTGTCTCATCAGTACCTTTCATTAAAAATCAATATCTTTGTTCTTGGTAGGACTGGTAGGGAAAAATGGGGAAGAGTTCAACCATCCTATCCAAACATACTTAGGGCAAGCCATCCTATTTTTTTGAGGACCAGTTCTTCCACATTCCCTTTCATGAGATCCCACTGTACTTGGAGTAGGAAAACAGGATCTAAGGTATGATTTTTCTCTGACTCAGACAACACAGATTAATTGTATCTCATCTCCCGTTATAGGCATGGTTGGGTCACT